ATATTGTTCTCTTGTTTTTGATAATTCTGTGGGTCTATATTAAAAAGTCAGAGTTCTATTTTTTGCTTGAATTTTTTCCATTGTTCAGTTGTAAAATATATAGAATCAAATATTCTTTTTTTTTTTGTTCTGTATTGTTTTTGGGCTTGATTTTTCAACAGATTGTTTGTTTTTATTCTTATTAATAGTAATGTATAGTTATTTCCTATTAATATTTTAACTAGAATATTTTTTTTTAACCTGTAATCATGTTAAAATGGTGTGTTTTTATTGAAAAATTGAAAATGAATTTATAATATTTTACAGACTTTCACAAAGTGACTAATTCGTCTTCATACAAAAGTACTCTAAGTCAGATTTTGGAAACAATATTTCACTCACCTAATAGATTAGTAATAACCTCTATCTATCAGGATTATTGTCAACAGTTTGTTACTGTTGATTGCCCAAAAATCAATGAATTGCTAAGTTAAAAAGGAAAAAGGAAAAGAATGATTGAGAAAAGGAGACAATTAAAGGCCCACCAAAAAAATCTAAAAATAAAAACAACCTCTTTTTAAAAGGGATCTACCTGAATGGAATAGTTTTTTTTTTTCACTTGAACCTCAGAAGAAATCTTCTTTTTCATCACCTGCAGTATTGAACGAGTCAATTCAATTGGTCTTTCATTTAAGTGAGTACCGGATTGGGATATCTCAAGGAAAGCATTTCAACCTCAGCTTTTTTCCATTAAAACTTTGTGACCACTTGAGGAACTTAGGTAAAAAAATGGGAGTTTGTAATTCACATTACCCATCACTTGGTCTTTTGGTGTCATAGAAGTTTTCATTGAGAGACTTGAGCTTTTTGGGGGCAACTATTTCCAGAACCTTCTTTTTAATCATTAATAACATCATCGGAACACGTGAATATAACCAATAGGAGCTTGTTTACATTTCAAAAACTAATGTGTTTCGTGTTAACCAATCACCTTTGGTGAGGATTTGTGCTACCAAAAATTCAGGGTCAAACTAAGGTAGACAAAATTCTCCAAAAAACCATGAAAGCGATAGCTCTAAAAGACCTAACAGTGACTGGAAGGGGAAAAATAAGCCCTTCTGTCATCAAAAACCTCTATATATCTCTCATTTAAAAGATTAAAAAGGTCTTCAGATACTTCACAGTTAGTTTTTCTTTCTTTTGAAACTTTCTTACCATTGGTATCAAAGGTATTACTTGACAATTCTTGGTTACTAGAAGTCAAGTTTTTGAGTGAAGAGGTTTGTAAACAAAAAGGAAAGGGTAGAGGTGACTCTTGAAGTCATACTTCAAATTGTTTTAATGAAAGTATTAAGACTTTATTAGCAAAAAAGTATAAAAACTTCTTGCGAATATCTTTTTTGTGTGTGGTCAGAGAATTAGCGGAAAATATTTTAACTAGAATATTCTTGAAATAATATATATTATTCAAACTAATTTTTGATAATAATTAAATATAGTTAATTTTATAATATAATATATTGTTTATCTATATAAAAGTATTGTCTTCTTCTTTCCAGGAGTTTTAAATATCTATGTAATTTCAATTTTCTAGAAAGTTAAAAAGACCTATTTCTATTTTTTTATATTTTGAAATCTTTTAATTTATAATGATCAGTCTACTATTGGATTTATAATAGTATTAAAATCTCCTATTACTATAATTTTGAACTGTTTTTTCAGTATATCTAGAATATTTCTTTGAAGTATCTGCTATAATTATTTACTTTCTTTTTTTTCTGATAAAAAATAAACTTTATAAATACAAAGTTTGACTCTTATTGATAAAAAGTTTGACTTCTATTATATGACTTTCTATCCTTTTAATAGATTTAAGTTTCTTTTTAATACTTTTGCTAATTAAAAGTTTTATATCAGATCCATTGGGCCTCTTATTGTTACTATTGTAAAAAAACTTATATGTTTGTTATAAGTTAAAAGTAAAATTGACTGCTTCTTCAATTAATTTTGTTTTACTAATATCTAGAATATATTGAGTTTTTTAGTTAGTTTATATAACCTTTATTAATCTAGACTAGTATTAATATATTTAATATTATATGTTTCAATTATTATAGTATCACTTATAATAGAGATATCTATAGTATATTTATTATATAGACTATTCATTTTCTAATTTTCTAATTATATTATTTTTGACTATATTAATGAGATCATTGAGTCATATATTAAAGGTATTAATAGAAAAAATTGTATTGTTATTTGAAGGTACAATTATTTTTATATCTTTTCTTTAAGATAAGTTTGATTTTTTCTGAGGATTTGATTCAATCCTTATATATTATGATAGGGTTGTTGCTACTTCTAGAAGGAATTATTATATTTTCTTTCTTTTACTTCAGATTGGCTTCATATCTTTTTCTCAATTCAACTTATTCTGTTCTTCAATATTTTGAGATTTTGAAAAATCTGATAAAAAGAGTTTTGCTTCTCTTTATTCTTAGAACATAGACTTTCTAATTTAATATTAGATCTTTTTTTATTTTAATAATTGATTGGTTTTCTGTTACTACTAGTAGCAAAATACTTGAAGGATTTCAATATTTTGAATTTTGTTATTTGCTATAAGTGTTAAGTCTTCTTCCTTTCTTGTTTGTGTATTGTTCTTTTTTAATCACAAGTTTTGCTTCTAAGTTCTTCTTTAAAGATACATATCCATTAATCTTTGTAAGACTTCAAATGTCTACTTGATTAAGCTGTCTTGAGCAAGATTTGTTTCATAATTTTTTGAAATAAATGAGTTCTTCAATATCACTAGAATTCTCTGTTTGAATAGTTTCATTATTTTATAATATTTCTTGTCTAAAGTGTTCCTTTACACTTCAATAAAGTTTGTGTCTATTTATAAAAATATATTATTTTAAGACTTTGTATAGGTCTTCTATTGTTATAAAGTATATAACAGCATATTTTCTTCTTTTAAGTGTAATTAAATTTCTTGATATATAACATATTATAGCCTTTGTATGCTTTATTGCTTTTGCTATAAAACTAGTATAAGTATTATACTATATGTATTATACAATCATAAGAACTGAGTATTGCAATTTTTGAGAATATTATCTATTTTATAATTATCCAGTTTATATTGGATAAAAATAGCTTTAAAAGTTTCTATTTTAATAAGAATAAACTATCTATTATTTAGATTTTCAAATTAATATAAAATGAACCATGCTTTAATTTTTTTTTGAAAATAGGAGTAATTATATATGTGGATATTCAATAATTTTCATATTTCTGAAAGGCAGTTTTAATTTCTTGTTATATATAGCTATGATCTAAATTTATTAGTATAGTAACTATGGTTTTATCTCTTTTCTCAGTTTCTTGCCTAAAGAATATCTTTTTTAATGGCAAATATAGATTTTTTCATTTGTTTACTTGTATGGGGATTAGAGTCTATACATTGTAAGTCATTTTCTATTTATTAAAGTTAAAAATTGTTTATGCATTGCTAATGAGAAAAAAATTTTTAAATGGTTACATATCTTTAGGTAGACTCAATATTCCTTGAAAATAAACTATTCTTTTATTTTTTGTATCTCTTGATATTCTAAATATAAATATTCTTACTTTATATTTTTCTTTTCTGAAATATGAAATGGATTAATGCAAAGGTAAAAAAGATTTTTATGTACTTCACTATTGGTTCTTTTTTCTTTGAAAACTTTCTTGTTATTGATATTAAAGATGTTATTTGACTTGTTCTTAATCCCAGAAGTCAAGTTTTTGATTAAAGAAGATTGTAAACAAGTAAGGAAAGGTAGAAATGACTCTTGAAATCACTCTTTAAAAAGTTTTAAGAAAAGTGTTTAAGACTTTTTAGTAAAGAAGCAAAAAAAACTTTTTGCAATCAAGTTTAAATTTAATAAATATATAAATTTTAATAAAATTGAAATTTTAATAAATATTAAAATAAAAAAACAATTAATAATTTATTTGATAAAATATATAGCAAAAACATATTAATACTGAATTATATAGATTAACTATTTATTTATATAAAATTATATATAGTAATTCAAATATCAAATTATATAGTAAAAATTGATCCATTATTTTTTTATATTATTAATTTAATAAATTATTTCTTTTTTTGATAAATATTATTACATAAGTGATATTATACTGAATAATATTTTTTGGCAAGTACAAGTTATATACAAAAAACAAACAAACAAATTAATTAATTATCATGTGATAGTTAAATATAACATTGTAGATATTCCATTAATATTTCAATAAAGATATGACATAATGGTATAAAAAAAAATAAATTTATTAGCTAGAGCCATCAAAAAGTTTTGTCCAATCATATATCATATAAAAGGCATAAAAATTAATTTCTTTAATCTTTTAATAATTTAAAAACTTGAAATTTTCATTGAGTGTAAGACAGAATTTTTGGTAATTCAAATAAAATTATATATGATATTGAGCGTTTATAAATTTACAAAAAAAAAAAACATAATTATCTTTTCAAATTCTTGGATGAATAAATTCGAGGCAAAAATTCTAACACTGTACAACAATAATCACTTATTAATCACAATATTTTATCATGCCTGTACTTTTTCTATTTCAAGTTTTGCTTCTTCCCAACTGCTCAGATTCTAATTATTATTACAAAAAAATTAATCAATGATCACAGATTTTTTCTAAATTAAAATTTTATAACACCAACCTTTTGACACCATTCAACATGATTTTTTGCATAATCGATTAACATTTGCCTGAGATCGGAAACCTTTTGTCGCTGAAATCGATTTAGATCGGTCTGAATAGATATTGAGATGTTCTTTAAATCTTTTTTTGTAATTTCTAAAGCCTCTTCAAGCTAAAATGAAAAAAAAAAACAAATCAAACCAAACCAAAAAAAAGGAACGTCTTAATATTTTTGGTTCTTATACTTTCTTAAGAATATAATTTACATGGTGTATAAAATTTTGTTAATTGACCTGAATAATTGATTCTCGAGTTTTTCCGATGCTATTTCTTCGAGTAGCTTCAGGGTCAACATCCATAATTCCATGAATCGTGTGACTTAATACAGAAAAGATTTTTGAACTACTTCTTTTCTTATGATGAGTTTTATGCCCGACGGGAGAAGATGGCACTGAACTATCCTCATTTTGAAGCCCTTCGGGATGGTCACTATCTCTTATGTTAGTATCTGAATAAATATCTTCATCGGTACGACTCTGCGATTGTTGCTGCTGTGTATCTTGAATCCCCCGCTCCTTATTCAAAGCCTCCTCCAACCTTTTTGCCTCTTGCTCCGATCTTTCCAGATTCTCCAGTGTAAATCTTTGTTTTTCAAGTGTTTCAGCAGTAAGCTCCATCTGTAAATGTTTAAGGTGTCTATATTTAAGAACTTGCTTAATAGTCTGCGCAAACTGTGAATATTCTTGTAAAGGTTCGGTAAACTCTGCTTCAAGTGATTCAGTCTTAATATAAAATCAATAATAATAATGACCGTTATTAAATGCAGCTTGGTTGAAAAATGATCGCGTGCATTAAAGGCAATACCAGGCTTCTTGTGGCTATATAAGTCGAGTCTACGGCTTGTCCCACTTTCTCGACAGCGTTGGCCAAATCTCCATTTTCATTCAGGCTAAATCCATTATATAACGCGCCTAATTCGGAATAATCGTGGGAAAAATCTGTTCAATGAAAAAAAAATGTTTTGCAGTCAAATATTGCTACGAGTCCAAGTGCAAAAGGGTAAAATTCTAGCAATACCATTTAAACGCTTCCAAATTCTTTTGTTGGTCTTTTCCATATTTTGGCTGATGTGAGTGGAAAACTTGTTCGTAAAAGCTTCAGAATCTACAAATGAAGGATCAGGGTCCTTTAATTGCTGTGAAGCACTCGGAGTAGGGAGTACAGTCGGTGGAACTGATGAGTTTGTCGATGATGTAGATACATTGTGTTGAGATGAAAGGTTTGCAGGTGATCCTTGAAGAATGTTTTTAGGTAAACTTGAAAGTGGAGGAGAATGCAACACCTCATTCTATTAGAAATGAAGGATTAGTATAATTTTGTCCACAATTGGGTGATTTTAATAAATAAAAACTAACCCAAGATACACCGTTTTCCATAAACCGATGAAAGACATGTTCATTAGAGAGTTGTGGGTGTTTAGATACGCGATTCAAAAAACTCTGTAACATTCTCTTTCGCTTTCCTATTACTGCATCCTCCTTGACCTTGTTTGGCATGGTCGCGTAATCAGCTAGTTTTATTGAATTAGATCGAATCAATTGGTTATAACTGGATATTTCAATATGACGATGGATCACCTATTGAATGTTTCTCTGGAATTGGAGGGACTATCAATGTAGGATATAGACGTATTAACGCTTTTCTCAACGATTCGAATTCTGAGTAGCGGCGATTAACTTCTTGATCCTAAAGTTCAAAGCAATTAAAAAATCTGTCAAAGTAAAATTCAATATGAATAATCCATTAGTGACAAATTCACAATTTGAAAATACACACTCCAGCTTTTATTGTATATGTAATATAACTGCTTCCATTTGCGTCAGTCGCCTTTTGCGCAGTTGTAATGGAAATAAAAAAGTCTTCTGTATGGATATCCCGATCGAGTTGACAGCAAAAATGCGTCTTGACCTCCGGCTGATAGTTCAAATTAATTGCCAATGGGCTAAGGATATCACTGTCCTCAGGATTTTCTTCTGGGCTTTCATCATATTCGTCATCCACCACAATAGGATCAATTGTATCTACAAAAAAATCCGTCATTTTGAATAATCTTTTCGTTCACTCTCAAGGTGTTTGTCAGATGACTATGTGAAAGTTGATGCACTTAAAATGACGTGTTGTCGATTGTCGATAAACTAGTTACGTAATTGCATACACTATATAAATGCTTTATAAAACAGTTTTACACAAAACTGACAATTATGAATTAAATTATATACCCTTTGAAGAAAAGTCAAGGAGTTTTGGCTTTATATAGAATCTCGACTTTGGAACGAGTGGCATTAGAATGGATATTGATTAATAAAACAAATAAAGAAATTATTATACTATTGAAATATTTGACTTAAAAAAAATTAGTATTAAAATAAACATATACTATTAGTTTTTTTTTTTTTTTTTAAACCTGTGGTCAGGTCAGCACTGTGTGTTTATTAATCATTATGAAAACTGATAGAGATATATAGAGCAATTGCATCATGTCAGGCTAAATCTCATACTAACACTAACTTTCAATTCTTAAAAAAACTTCAATCTCTAAATATAACTTTGAAAATAATATTTCACTCTATGATAGATTTTAAATAAATACTCTTCTAATTTACCTATCATTACTAGCAGGTTGACACTGCTTATTATTCTCCTAGGAACTGATTTCAAAAAACTATAAAGGAAAAATAAAAATAAAAATAAAAAGGAATATCTAAAAATGTACAAGTGTATTATATGAAAAAAAAAAAAAAGTGTTTCATATTTTCAAAGAATCTCTACTAGAAATTTCTTCTCATTAGAAATTAATCTTTCTGAAATATCTTTTTTTTTTCTAATTGTCAAAGGGACTTATATATTCATAATTTTGATTATTTTCTTGTGATCATTTAAGATATTTATTATTTACTTGAATCCAATATTTTGTTTGGTGCTTTTTTTCTTTCAGTCTTAATTTTGTATCCACTTGTACTAAATAGGATAACTAATGAAGAATTCCAAGTTCTTATGTGCCTTTTAAATTATATTATATAATTCTTAATATCTTCCAAGAACTATATTTAGTTAAAAAAATTTTTTAGTGATTATTTTCTATTATTCAAAAAGACAGATTCCCTAATAATCTTTTTGTCTTGTAATAGTAGAAGGGTTTGATTAGTATTGAAAATTCCTATCAATTATAATATTATTACACAATATCTAGAAAAATGTATTCTCAATTCTAGAAAAAGGCAGTGTCTTATATTTCTTTGCTTTTCAATTTTATAGTCTTACTAGAATAATAATTTCTTTCATATACTTTGCCTAACTTCACAATTTAGGAAATTTAATACTCATTCTAATAGTCTCATAATTTTTTTACTTTAGTTACACTTGATTTAAAAAAGTAGAGAAGTTCATATTAATAATTTTTTTTTTCTTTTATCAATAATATCATCAAAACATGTAAAGTAATCAATAGGAATTTATTTATATTTAGTTATTAATATATTTTATATCTACCAATCATATTTTGCAATGGGTTGTCTCACTTAAAATTTAAGGTCAAATTAAAGTAGGCAAAATTTTTCAGAAAACTAAAAAAAATTTTGAGTGACTATAAGAAAAAAGACATAGTGAGCATTATCTTGAAATATAGTTTGTTTTTTTACTATTTTCCACTACTAGAAATCTCTAGAGACATGTTTTAATATGAAAGATTTCAAGTATTATACTATTAGTTCTTTTTTCTTGTAAAACTTTCTTACTATAAGTAGAAAATATGTTTCTTGACTTTTCTAAGTCACAGAAAACCAAGTTTTTGTTTAAAAATGAATATAAACAAGAGAAAAGGTTTAAAAGTATCTCTTTAAATAAAACTTTAGGTTGGTTTAGAAATAATATTAAGACTTTATTAATAAAGAAATAAAAAATTTCTTGTGAACATCTTTTTTTTATATAGGTAGAGTACCAAAAGCAAAAGTATAAACATATACTACTAGTAAACTAATTTTATACTATATAGTAATATGGATAATGAAAATTAAAAAAAAACTTTTTTTACTGATTCTTTTTTTTTTTTAATACTAATATAACCATATTTTATTGAATATAGTAGATATAATATATAATATAGATAAACTACTTCTGTTTCTCAAATAAAACTTTGATAAGGACAAACTTACTTCATGGCAGTACCATCCTTTTTTGAGACAAAGGAGCTAGTAAAAAGATCTACTAGTACAAGAAAAATTAAAAAAGAATCTATAGTATTTGTATTCATATCAATATGTTTCTCAGATTTAAATTTGATGATTATACTATCTATCCAATTACTATGATTTTATCTTTCAGATTAGATTATAACTATAAACAAAACTATATAAAATTAAATAGGAGAAAAGACTTTGTATATAACAAAAAAGGCATTGATGGAAAAGGGGAGTTGATTTTGATATAGAGTGATTTGAAACTATACCACTACTACCCCTTTTGTACTATCAGCTAGTTACTCTTCAAGAGCTTCATTAGTCCAAGTTATAATATCTCTTCTTCAATTGCTTTTAGTATAGCCATGTTATAGTTTCTTGTCTCCCAGCTTCAATTCTTTCTTTTGATTTCCACTTTACTCTATCTAGTATGGGATCTTTGTTAATGTTCTTTCAGGTGATAATAAGTTAAGAGTTGCAAGAGAAGTTCTAGGACATAGAAAAGAAGTAGTTTGATAATACTATCAGGATTTCTTTCTTAGGCTATATAAGCACTAAAGAGAAAGGGTCTATCATTCAATAACCTATTCTTTTTTGCTATTGCAATGGTTCTATTCTAGAAAAGAAAGTCTTAATATGTTCGACTTATGTTTTATTAAATTTGATAAATATTATGTTGTTTTTCCCAGAGTACTACTATCTTGAAAAGTTGAGCTATAATCTTTTTTTCTTTAAACTACATATTGGTTTTGCCTTTTGGTTGGTATAAATAATTAATCTTCTAACCTATCAATCTAATATTTATAAAAGATAGGTATGACACTTCTTAAACATTATTCTCTTTCTATATACCCTTGAGTTTTGTTATAGATATAATTTCACTTAATAGATTTATATAGTGTGTTGTTGAAGGTTCTTTCTTGATCAAGGCACTGACATAAAAAAGATTATATCTTATATCCACCTGTACCACATTCTAATATTTTATAGTGGACCCCAGATTCTTATAGAGCTGAGAAAATGCATTCAGATATGTGAGATGACCAATAGGGACTTGTTTACATTCTTTTACTGACATGTTTTCTGCTGGCCAATTGCTGTATGAAAAACTTTATGCTATTCAAAATTCAGGATCAAATTGAGGTAGGCAAAATTTTCCAAAAAAACTGAGAAAGAGCATTTTTAGAGAAAGCATATGATAAAAGAGTGAATGGTTGCCTTCAAGATAAATTTCTCATCATCAAATAAGCTCTATATTGTTTCTCTAGTAGATAAATAAGTAGCAGTACTTCAGTTTTCTTCCTTTCAGAACTTTCTTGCCATGGGTATAAAAGATGTATTTGTGACTTTGGTTACTAAAAGTCAAGTTTTTGTTTAAAGAAAATGTTTACAAGAGAAAAGGAGAGGTAAAAATGACTCTTGAAGTATTATTTCAAGTTGGTTTAAAGAAAGTAGTAACACTTTATTAATCAAGAAATATAAAAATTTCTTAAAACATCTTTTTTGTATGTGATCATAGGATTAGCAAAAAAGAAAGGCATTATTTTTATTGATTTTCTATTCATATATAAAAAAGATATTTATAAGAAATTATTTTTTTTTTTATAATCACAATCAATATTTATAAGAAATTATATATTTTTTTATTAATAAAATTTTAATACTATTCTTAAATCAACTTGAAATTTTATTTCAAGAGTTATTTTTATATTTCTCTTTTATTTATATTTTTTTTAAACAAAAGCTTGATTTCTGGTAATCTAAAAAATCAAGAAATATCTTCTTAATCCATAATAAGAAAATTCTATAAAAAAGAAAAACTAATAGTATAGTATTTAAAATCTTTTATATTGAAATAAGTTTATAGAAATTTTTATAATAGAAAGTAATAAACATCAAGTTATATCTTCAAAATATTTATTTATTATATCTTTTTTCTTATAGTTATCTATTTTTTTAATTTTCTAGAGAATTTTATCTACCTTAGTTTGATCTTAAATTTTAAATAATACAATTTATTATTAAATATAATTGATAGATATTTTTTTTTTTTACCCCACAGTCAGGTCAGCATGGCATGTCTTTATTGTATATATACTAGGTATTTACAAATTATTGTGACTTTTACATACTGACTCACTCGTCGTCAAAAAACTATTTTTCTAAATACAACCTAGGAAATGATATTTCGCTCCTTTACTAATTTGGATAAATCCTCTAATTAATAAAATCATTGCTTACAGGTCATTACTGTAGATCATTCTAAGTTCTGTCTGCAATTAAAAACCAAGCCACTTTATTCCATGACAAACCCAATCCTTAATAATCACCATATACTTTTTTTTTTCTATTTCTTTGATATTCTCCAGGTTTAAATCCTTTGGAAATAATGACAATTCTTTTTGATCCTGTTCAGTCTGTTTATCAGATCTAATCTTGAGCCCCTTGTTTCTTTTATCCTCTTCTGTAATATTTTACTTATTTTC